AATGTCGAATTTTCCGGCGGTATCGGTCAGACGAAGCGGCTGACGAATGATCATTCTCAATGCTTCATTTGGAAAATAAGTGTCGAACGAACGACGATTAACGGTGATTTCGCCTTTTCCGGGACGAAGGTAAACACGAGCCGTTGAAGTTTTTCTGCGACCGGTTCCGTAATATTGAATATCTGCCATAATTCTAAAAAGTGGTCAGTGATCGGTGGTCAGTGATCGGTTATCAGAATTTTTCTGACCACTGACCACTAACCACTGACTACTGCAATTTATTTTGTTTCAATTTCAATCGTTTCAGGTTTTTGCGCAGTATGACGATGATCGCCGTCTGCGTAAACTTTCAGTTTTTTCGCCATCGCTTTGCCGAGTTTGGTCTTTGGAAGCATACCTTTAACCGCGAGTTCGATAATACGCTCGGGTTTGGTTTCAAACATATCTTTGACCGATTTTTCGCGCAAACCGCCCGGATAGAGCGTGTGATGACGATAAACTTTTTGATCGTTTTTAGAGCCTTTGAAAACTGCGTGACGTGCGTTGATGACCACGACGTGATCGCCCATATCGAGAAACGGAGTCCAATCGGGATTATTTTTACCCGACAAAATTCTCGCAACTTCCGTTGCCAGACGACCGACCGTTTTACCCTTAGCGTCAACGATAAACCACTTGCGGTTTTCAGCTAAGCCCTTTCCGCTTGGAAAATAAGTACTCATATTGCCTACTCTATTAGGAATTTTCGCCAAAAAGCGAACCGATAGAATATCGAAAAACCCTTTTTAGGTCAAGCCGTATTTGATTTTTCTTGAGTTTCGGTGATTTCGATTAAATAAACTGACGAAACCTTTGAACGCGGATTTTGCGGATCAGGCAGATTAATTAAATCAATTTCATAAAAATAAATCCGTCAAATCCGCCCGATCTGCCAAATCCGCGTTCTACAAATTCTTAAAAATATTTTGAACGGATTTGCCAAAACAAACGTAAAACGTTATGTTGAAAGCGTAGTCGTTCAGGAAGAACGGCGAAAATTTAGAACACGGAGAGTGTTATTACAAATGAATAAAAAATACGATTTCGGAATCGTCATCGGACGTTTCCAACCATTCCATACAGCACATCTTGATTTAATCCGATACAGTTTAAAATTAGCCGAAAAGGTAATCATCGTTCTTGGCTCGGCGCGAAGTGCGTCTGACGTGAAAAATCCTTTCACGCCTGCGATGCGCGAAGAAATTATCCGCGCTTGTTTTCCCGAAGACGAAAAACACCTGATTTTCCGTGCTGTCCGCGATTACCCGTATAACGATCACGTCTGGACAACCGAAGTTCAAAACGTCGTCAATGAAACGGTTGAAAACGACGAGGTAAAAATCTCGATCGTCGGCTTTTTCAAAGATAGAAGTTCTTATTATTTAAGCCTTTTTCCCCAGTGGAGCTTTGAAGAATTTTATTGTTCGGACAAAAAACTCTTGAGCCTGAACGCAACGCAAATACGTGAAAAATTCTTTTCCTCTAGCGAAGATTGGAAAGATTTTCTGCCGCCGCAAGTCGCAACGGCACTCGAAATCTTCAAACAAACGGAAACTTTTACGAATCTGCAAAAGGAATTTTACTATTTGCAGAAATATAAAGCCGACACGCACTTTGTCGGCGTGCCGTTCGAGCCGACATTTATCACGACCGACGCGGTTGTCGTCCAAAGCGGACACGTTCTTGTCATTCGGCGCGGACATCAGCCGGGCAAAGGTTTGCTCGCACTTCCGGGCGGATTTCTGGCAATTGGCGCAACGCTCGAAGACAATGCGATCAAAGAATTAAAGGAAGAAACACAGATCAAAGTTCCGGCGCAGGTTTTGCGCGGAAGCATTAAATCTTCGCACGTTTTCGATTATCCAGAACGCTCAAATCGCGGACGAACAATCACACACGCTTATTTCATCGAACTCGAACCGAACTTAAAAGAAGGTTTGCCAAGAGTAAAAGGCGGCGACGATGCGGCAAAAGCCTTCTGGCTTCCGCTTTCCGCTTTGGGCGAAAAAGAAGACGAATTTTTCGAGGATCACATCCACATCGTGAAATATTTTTTAGGAATGTAGGAAAAATTAGGCTTTCAGGTAGAGAGCTGAAAATGGAGAAATAAAAATATGTTTGAAATTAACAGAATAATCGACACGGATTCGTATAAAGCGAGTCATTGGCTGCAATATCCGCCGAATACGACGCGGGCTTTTTTCTATCTCGAATCGCGCGGAAGCGATCGGGATNGACGAAGGTTCGTTGATTTCGACCTTGACCGAAGCCGTGTCGAGCCAACCGATCGCTTTATCGGGTAAATGCAGATTGCGTATGTATTTCGGCGACATCTCCAAAGCCGTATTAATTGCTTCGTCGGAAATCGTGACTGAATAATTTTTTTCCAAACGCGGTCTTAAACCGAGCAGGATTTCTCGTGTTTCCGCAATTGTCGGTTCATCAACCTTCACCAACCGAAAACGACGTGCAAGTGCTTCGTCTTCGCCGATATATTCTTTATATTCGGTCAAAGTCGTCGCGCCGATAATCCGCAGTTCGCCGCGTGCGAGCGACGCTTTGAACATATTTGCGGCATCCGAAGATGTTCCCATCGCCGCGCCTGCGCCGATGATCGTGTGCGCTTCGTCAATGAAAAGAATGATGTTTTCCTTTTCCTTAACTTCGTCAATGATTCCCTTGATACGTTCTTCAAACATTCCGCGCAGCATCGTTCCGGCGACGAGTCCGCCCATCTGAAGCTGAACGATATGCGAATCCCGCAATCTTGCCGGAACTTTTTCCGGTTCGAGTTCGATCAAACGTGCAAGCCCTTCAACCACCGCCGTTTTTCCAACGCCGGGTTCGCCGACCAGCATCGGCGAGTTCGAGCGTTCGCGGTGCGAAAGAATTTCGATCATTTGCAAAATTTCCTTTTCGCGTCCGATTGTCGGCGGAATTTTGTCTTGTCTTGCCAATTTATTCAGCGAAACGCCGAAATGTTTTAAAAATGAAGGCAATTCGTATTTTTGGCGAACTCTTTCTTCTTCTTTTTCACGTTTGCGGATGCGTGTCCGCGCCGTTTGCCCGACTTCTTCGGACGGCACGCCGAGATTTTGCAGAACTTCATTCAAAACGCTTCTTTCATCATTGGAAAGAACGTAAAAAATATCACTTCCCTCGATCACGCGGCGACCTTGCGAACGCGCTCTGTCCATCGCTTTTTTGAAAACTTCGGTTGTTTC